TTTGTGGTAAAATGTAGCATTATATAGAGGGGATGGGGTGTAATACAGGTTGTAGTTCTATGTAAAGTTTCTGAATAACACATATTTCTTCTGCCAAAAATGAATTGTAATAACTAAATTGTAGAACTATTATGCAACAACGAAAATATATGCATCTGTTGTGACATGTTTCTGTCCCTTGTACCATATTTAGTATGAGTTAATTAATTTTTAAAATTCAGAATATAAAGGAACAAGTTAGATAAATTAGTTAGGCTACATAAGATAGTTGAACAAACTACAAGAATTAGCCAGATATGTGTCAGAAAAAGCAAATTTAACATACAATTTATCATGGAGGTCGAATTTACCTTGGCAAAACAAGTCTCTTAAATTTAGTGGATAAACAAAGCTACTGCTTACAAAAATTATATCGTAAATAACCCATAACCAATCTAATTATACAGCAAACAACCTACATAATCCGTAAATACACCTCCAACGTGCAACAGAAATAATTGATTCCTCCACAAGAGACATCTGGCGTTGTGAGCCATGCAAGCCATAAGACGGCGTCAAGTTATCGTCGTTTCCTGTAGACTAACTAACATACGGTCGCCGTATATAACTGTGACGTTGGCCTAACATGCGCAACACTGCATAGCATTCCATTAGTCAACCAAATTGGACAGTAAACACGGTAAAGACGTCGGTCTAGAGGTGGGTTTCGGCGACGCAGCCGAGATAGATATTAGACTTGCAAACCGTCTTGCTGCGGCTGATACACGGGTGTTAAAAGGCAATTAGACGAAGGGACTAATTCATGGTAATCGAGGCTTGTCGATGAATTGTATCGTGTTGACTCAATGGATTTGATTTGAGGGTATCACTGTATTGCGAACTGACTCCTGTCACTGTTAAGAATGAAATGATCCGTCAAATCTTTCATGGTCAACTATGTAATTTACGAAAATGATAATAGGTAAACGTTATAGATGAAGTACGTATAATTTTGTTTACAAATTGTGGGTACATTTCTCAAAATGTAGTTTGGGTTATAGTTAATGTATATGTAATGTATAAGTAGCCGAGTTGTTGTGCTCACTTTCAAATGTGAAGGTCGCAAGGTTCGATTCCAAATGTGATTGATTTCACACTAAAATATAATTTGTTATTAATCGATTATGTCGATCAAAAAGGTTGACATAAGATAGTACAGGCCAGGGTTTGGACTGTTCTATTAGAAACAATGTTTAAAAATGCCAACTGCAAGATATACAAAATATATATAAACAATAATGTATCTAAAGCAAATAGTTTTTACAGTTCTTTATAGTCTTCATGAGCATATTACTGGAACTGTATGAAACAATAATTTATCCTAAGCACATCAAATTGGGGTATTATCCTGTAAGGAAACGCCATTTTATTGGCTGGATTTGTTTATAAGCCAATCAGGGCCGAAGGAGACGGTATGTTTACAAAATAACTAATATTATCGCGTTCTCTATTTGCTGAAATCTGGAAAAGGTCGTTCATTAAAGATTAATAATTGTTATCTACTGTTACAGCTTATGTAAGTAATTTAAAATCACATTTAAGCTGTGTTGTTGACGTTATATTTATTTGACTAATGTTAGTTGTTAATTAATATTATATTTTCATTTATAAATATGTAATCTCGCTAGAAATTTGATGAATTCCATGGTAGACGAATTTTGCAGGATTTAGCACAAAAAACTAACATTTCCCTCTTTAACAGATATTTTCTAGATTTCTGACGTATCTGACACCCTAATCACCTGTTAACCTGTATAGTGTCGGTTACATCTCCCCGTTCAGTTCTCGTAGTAATATGAGAGAGTTATTTGACAACATGCAGCATTGTAGGAACACCCTCTCAAACAAATGCCTATCAAAAGGCCTACAGGTGTGTTTCATCCCTTGGAATCTAGGTTGAGCCACGAAACGTATTGAAAACCCACCCTACTCATGTTACATCTGAACTAAACGTTCACTCACAAAAGTGATGAATTCTTTGTAATGATTCGTGTCTTGACCTGTCGATAAGGGTTCAGGTGTATACAAGTCTCTAGTGTAATTTAATATAGAAGGTAGATATAATCACAATGGTACAAGTTAATCCCTTCAACAATTTTACAGTTTGTTGAGTTGATTACTTTTTGTACGGCTACAGGTCCACGATTGGGTCTGCTAATCTCTGGCGATCACGGCCGAATCTGCCGATCGCACCAAACTCTGTTGTTTACTCTTGTCTTAACCGATCTCTAACCGATCTTGTACACGTTAACTATAAAGAAAGGACCATGAGGTCGTAAGTTTGCATCAATAAAGAAAGATTTGTATTAATTCAATCGTCTCTACCGATTACTCTTGTCTCTACTGACCTCTGCCAATTACTCTTGTCTCTGCCGATTACTATTGTCTATGCCAATTACTATTGTCTCTACCGATTACTATTGTCTCTACCGATTACTATTGTCTCTACCGATTACTATTGTCTCTGCCGATTACTATTGTCTCTGCCGATTAATATTTTCTCTACCGATTACTATTTTCTCTACCGATTACTATTGTCTCTGCCGATTACTATTGTCTATGCCAATTACTATTGTCTCTACCGATTACTATTGTCTCTGCCGATTAATATTGTCTCTACCGATTACTATTTTCTCTACCGATTACTATTGTCTCTACCGATTACTCTTGTCTCTACTGACCTCTGCCAATTACTCTTGTCTCTGCCGATTACTATTGTCTATGCCAATTACTATTGTCTCTGCCGATTATTATTGTCTCTACCGATTACTATTGTCTCTACCGATTACTATTGTCTCTGCCGATTACTATTGTCTCTACCGATTACTATTGTCTCTACCGATTACTATTGTCTCTGCCGATTAATATTGTCTCTACCGATTACTATTTTCTCTACCGATTACTATTGTCTCTGCCGATTACTATTGTCTCTGCCGATTACTCTTGTCTCTACCGATTACTATTGCCTCTACCGATTACTATTGCCTCTACCGATTACTATTGTCTCTACCGATTACTATTGTCTCTGCCGATTACTCTTGTCTCTACCGATTACTATTGCCTCTACCGATCTCTGCCGATTACTCTTGTCTCTACCGATATAATAGTTACCTAATATATACACAAGAAAGTCTTCTAAGGATGCATACCTTACTTCAAGTACTGACTAGCAAACATTTCTTCTTATGTGGTAAGTACAGCTTTTTCATAGATGTTAAGTTAACATATAAGATCGATATTTTTTTATTAATATTCACTTCCTGTTAAGTTTATACTTACCACACCCTAGCAGAAAGGTGGGTGCAGCTGCGGTTTTACGGTTCAAACTAAAATACTTTCACTTTTTACGACTTCACGAATATAAAACGGCCCACCTTTTAGCACATTGTTTCTAAAAAACGATGCGTCATATCCTTGTGGAATCAATCCCGAATCTGTAGCAAATATGACTGGACGTTTTAATGGTTGCTTTTAGCACGCATTCTATCGGTGTAAATTGAAATGAAAACGTGTAAAACCACTCTGTTGGAGTGGTGGAAAGAATCGTTGTAACTTATTTATCAGGGAGTTATAAAATCAAAGAACAGTTTTTTTTTTCTTCTGGAAATAGGTCACCGGGAGTAATACCCGTAGAATGAAGGTTTTTTTTATTTAAAGTTGATCACCATATTTTGACTAATTATGGTAAAAAAGTACCTTGTAAGACAATCCTTGACCTGTTTTTTAGTGTCAAAAATAACTTGCTACATGTTTCGGTAGTCAATATTTTGAGGTTGTCAATAGATTATTTCAGGTAGTAGCTTTAAATTTTTCTTCAAACAAGCGTTTCTTTGTTTGTGGTTTTTTTATTAAGTATGTTTTCAATTGGATTAGTCTTGGCTAGTCAAGTCAGTTGCAAGGTAGATCTTATCCATTGTCTCTTGAAAGGCTGCGTTTCCTTATTAATGGTGTCAGTTTATGAGCAATTTTCTAGGATTTTTACAAGGTTTTGTAACTTTTTACTGCGTTAACTTAACAAACTCAGTCCAAATCAGAACGAGGTAAGAACAACAAAATTAGGTAAAAAAAATCAAATTTGAGAACCACATGTATTTAAGAAACAAGTGCTATTTGTTTCTTTAAAATAATAGTGATTCATTGATTGTATTTACACATTTTGTCTATTGGACAGTTCGTTACACAAGGGCTACTGTATGTTTTTGGGCAGTATTTAAATCATATTTGCTTCACATTAATGCGTTGTAATGATGGTCAAAATTAATACACATTACATTATTGTATTATGTGTTTTTTTTCTGTACACTGTTCGTCGCAGTGCCATCTAAATGAGATTTATAACTTATTTGTTCTTTTTTGTTAAAACTTGAATTTTTGTATGCACTATATTTACCTTTGAGCACGTGTCCATATGCAATGCATGCATGTGTCTACTGGAATATAACATAAATAACATAACATTGATTCTTGATTCTTACAAACCTAAAGTATGAGGAATAGCAACGCCTCTTGTGCAAGCTGCTAACTTATTTTGCCATTAGTATCCGATATAGGTATGTTTTTAATCTACATGCATTTGAATTTAACACCCCTCACATTTTCCAAAAACTATACTACGAAGTTATTCGATTTTCGGCCTAAAACTGTGACTTAAGACGTCGTTCTAGAGACACTTTCCGAACACCTAACAAAATAAAAAACGTTACGTAAAAATAAAAATAAACCAGCCTCTCTACTACTCTAAGACTATCCAAACAAGAGCTGCAATCTATGATCCTAGATAGTCCTGTAACGGTCCTGAGGCTAGACCACTGTCTTGGTCTAGGTAGACCACAACACAACAGCCAGGTATGCCGAATGAATTCATTAGGGAGTGAGCGAGAGGGGAGATGGAGAGAGAGGGAGAGAGTGTGGTGCGCGCGCACGAAGGATATTCCTGTCCTGGTAGTGTGCCTCAGCGAGCGCGCGTCTCAAGTTAGTTTAGTTGCGCGCAAGTCGTCGTGCGAGTCGCGAGTGTAGTGTTGTCGTTTGAATTGTTTCATTGAGGATGTACGAACTTTAATCTATTTTCGGACCACATTTTTTAAGGTAAGCTAAGTTTCTCTATTATTTTGAATTATTTGCGTGATGTTCAAACAATTTTAGTGTGTACATTTTTTTCTAACTTTTTTAAAAATGTACGAGTCTATTTTTTGCTAGGTTTTGAAATTTTTTTTGAAGTCTTAAAATAGATCAAAATAAGTCAATAAAATTTCCTCTACGGTTTAATAAGTAACAGCAAAAACTTTCATGGATAAAAATAAAATAAAATAGTGTCATTGCACCGTATTTACATTGTGCATTTAAAGTCTTGCGTTGTCATGTCGGTATACATACATTCTTAACAACCTGGTTTAACCGTGGCACCCAAAAACAAAGGGAATAGATTATTGCTATGCTATTTTTTATATCGAGTCAATCTGTAGATTTAAACTTTTAAACTAGCGAAAAGTAGGCGTAATTTAAACTTATTGTATTTAAAGCGTCAAGCTGAAACTCTTTTGAAATCAATAAGTTTATAAACACTAGTTTCGGGTATCAAATCAGTAAAATTGGTAAGGTACAACAGTCAGAAAGCAATAAAAAACTTGTGTATCGTCCACAAACATTGACTGACTTGAGAAGTTATTGGTTGTTCCTGTGAAAGTGTTCTTCAAAACCCCTTACCGCTATATGTGGGTACAAAACTTGTAAAAGTTAGTAGAACAGTAGACGTTAGCAAAATTACTTTTGCAAAATGTCCGGTAAATAAAACGTTTTCCTATTATTTCGTTTAATTGCTACTGATATCTACTTATTTTATTATGTTAAAAAGATGCCCTTCAGAATTTATTAAACTGAGTGAGTGTTTTTAGTCTATTTTCGGACACTAGAAGATGCAATAGAACAATCCTGTATTGAAATTGTATATATTACATAAAAATCATCAATGTACAAATAAATCAGTAAGTTCATTTGAGAACGTAAGGACAATCAAAGACTCATTAAAACAACAAACACGCTGGCCAATAAATTAGGGTTGAAATCCGTAAAATATTTAAAACAACATTGTTACCGTGGCAAATTAATTACGATTGGAACCGCGTTATGAATATGTATTTATGTAAATGTCCGTTAATAGACGGCGAAAACAAGCAACTGTCTACCCGCGCTGGATTTAGTGGACCTTAATTGAAAATAACTAGAGAACCATCCACCCACGGCGTGCAATATAAAACAGATAAAAGATGTAATAACAAATTTCTTCAAAGGGGAACTTTTTGTCGCCCGCATGGCGAGCCACCTCTAGCGGAAGTCAACATTAATCTTGGGTTTTATTGTGGGTTTTGTAAAAACGGGGTATTGTCATTATCATATGTTTACAACCCCCTGTGGGCCGCAAACAGGGGCTCATGGGCTCACAGACATCACACCAATTAATCAAAGGTCTTCCCCGGATAGGATCTTGCTTTCAATTTCAGTTGAAGCTGCCGTGTGATTAATTGTGTAACGGATTTCAAAGTTTTTATTCAAAAATGTTCGGTACGATTTCGACTACTTATTTCACTGTTGCATAGCATTATGGATTACTTCACTTGGCTCTACTTAAGTGTTTGACTAGCAAGTACTTCGAATTCCTATTCTTTTAAGTGGATGTAATGTATTTTTCAATTTTATTAGGTTGTTTAGTATGGATAAAACTTCATCTTAGTAAATAAAGTATCCAACAACATGATTTTAGTGAAACACAATTTAATTTTGCAGAAACGTACGGACTGAACTTTATTTTAAAAGCTAGAATGGTAGTGGACAAAAATTATAGACTGTTTTATAAGTGTACCTACAGCATATTTGTTAATATTTAGCGTAATATTATTCTATGTCAAATGTCGTATAGTTTTTCCTAGACAACAGTAGTGTTCGTATGGCCAAAATGTTAATTACATATTACTACATTTGCTTATGTAGGCTTACTTAACGGTTTTAAGATTGTTAATGTTAAATGGTAAAATATTCAAAAAAAACATTATCAAATGTGCAGACAAAAATCCATATAATCGTCAGAATAAACTAATAAATATTACGTGATAGCTCTACAAAGGATAGGCAATTCGTTAGTCTCATGAGCAGAATTAAATGTCCCGTCATTGAATGAAAGTAACGAACCCGTAATCATAACCTGTGCAATTCAAAAAATATGTAAAGTATTTTACTTCTTATTTAAGTTTTAATCAAAAGTAAATAGTAATCTATGAATCTTGTCGAATATTTTAGTCGAATCAACTTTGGAGTAGGGTACTTGTTAAAGAAGCAAAATAACAATAGGAAATTCCGTAGGTGCAATATCAGGAACACACCTGATTTATCGTAAATTTACCCTTTACCCATATAGCCATAGAAGTAATTAGCCCCCTCCTAAATACTGTGCACTGGATCAATTAGCCTCCTCGCCTCCTTGTGTAAACTGTGAGCCAAATCAATTTGCCTCCTTGTATACTGTGAGCCATATCAATTAGCCTCCTCGTATACTGTGAGCCATATCAATTAGCCTCCTCGTATACTGTGAGCCATATCAATTAGCCTCCTCGTATACTGTGCACCAAATAATTTAGCCTCCTCGTATACTGTGCACCAAATCAATAAGCCTCCTCGTATACTGTGAGCCAAATCAATTAGCTTCCTCGTATACTGTGCACCAAATCAATTAGCCTCTTCGTGTATACTGTGCACCAAGTCAATTAGCCTCCTCGTGTATACTGTGCACAAAATCAATTAGCCTCCTCGTGTATACTGTGCACCAAATCAATTAGCCTCCTCGTGTATACTGTGCACCAAATCAATTATCATCCTCGTGTATACTGTACACCAAATCAATTATCCTCCTTGTGTATACTGTGCACCAAATCAATTAGCCTCCTCGTATACCGTCCACAAAATCAATTAGCCTCCCCGTATACCGTAAACCAAATCAATTAGCCTCCTCGTGTATGCTGTGCGCCAAATCAATTAGCCTCCTCGTGTATGCTGTGCGCCAAATCAATTAGCCTCTTCGTGTATACTGTGCACCAAGTCAATTAGCCTCCTCGTGTATACTGTGCACAAAATCAATTAGCCTCCTCGTGTATACTGTGCACAAAATCAATTAGCCTCCTCGTGTATACTGTGCACCAAATCAATTAGCCTCCTCGTGTATACTGTGCACCAAATCAATTAGCCTCTTCGTGTATACTGTGCACCAAGTCAATTAGCCTCCTCGTATACCGTCCACAAAATCAATTAGCCTCCCCGTATACCGTAAACCAAATCAATTAGCCTCCTCGTGTATGCTGTGCGCCAAATCAATTAGCCTCCTCGTGTATGCTGTGCGCCAAATCAATTAGCCTCTTCGTGTATACTGTGCACCAAGTCAATTAGCCTCCTCGTGTATACTGTGCACAAAATCAATTAGCCTCCTCGTGTATACTGTGCACCAAATCAATTAGCCTCCTCGTGTATACTGTGCACCAAATCAATTAGCCTCCTCGTGTATACTGTGCACCAAGTCAATTAGCCTCCTCGTGTATACTGTGCACAAAATCAATTAGCCTCCTCGTGTATGCTGTGCGCCAAATCAATTAGCCTCTTCGTGTATACTGTGCACCAAGTCAATTAGCCTCCTCGTGAATACTGTGCACAAAATCAATTAGCCTCCTCGTGTATACTGTGCACCAAATCAATTAGCCTCCTCGTGTATACTGTGCACCAAATCAATTAGCCTCCTCGTGTATACTGTGCACCAAATCAATTAGCCTCCTCGTATACTGTAGAGCGAAACAATTAGCCTCCTCATATATCGGACGCCAAATCAATTAACCTCCTCGTATATACTGTGCACCAAATCAATTAGCCTCCTCGTATACTGTGCACCAAATCAATTAGCCTCCTTGTATATACTGTGGATCAAATCAATTAGCCTCCTCGTATACTGTGCACCTAATCAATTAGCCTCCTCGTGTATACTGTGCACCAAATCAATTAGCCTCCTCGTATATACTGTGCACCAAATCAATTAGCCTCCTCGTGTATACTGTGCACCAAATCAATTAGCCTCCTCGTATACTGTGCACCAAATCAGTTAGCCTCCTCGCATACTGTGCACCAATTCAATTAGCCTCCTCGTATACTGCGCACCAAATCAATTATCCTCCTCGTATACTGTACACCAAATCAATTAGCATCCTCATCTATACTATGCACCAAATCAATTAGCCTCCTCGTATACTGTGAGCCAAATCAATTAGCCTCCTCGTATACTGTGCACCAAATCAATTAGCCTCCCCGGACCTCACCTGAGCCGCGTTGTCGTCGCACAGTTTATAGCCTGGACGTCCCGTAGAGATGTTATCCATGTCGAGAGATGTTCTGTCGAAAGCTCCATCGTCGGTGTTTTATGCGGCTTCTCCCTCAAAACTGGTTCCCAGAGGTTATCACCTGATTTACGGACCTTTTATGTTCCCCTAAAGTCATCCCAGGAGCTTTATGTTGATAGAGCAATACCAACTCGATTTGCATTTCGAGTTTTGAAAAACAAAAATAAATTCTGGCTGTTTTAAGTAGCGGTTAAAGCTCCTTGATGTTTGGCCTTTTTGAGAGACATTATTGGTTATAGTTGTTTTATTTGATTTTATGGAGAAATTGAAGCTTCTTTTCGCCACAGATATGATACGTTTTAGAGATAAATTTAATACATTGTTTATTACAACCTGTTAAGTTTAAATGTAATTTACACAAATTATGAAAATATTTCTTAGGTGGAAAAACTTACGTTCTTCTTTAACAAAATAACAAACGAATTAGTTTTGTATTAAATATTCGTTCACTGTATTCATCATTGACAAAGATCATTATGTAAAATCCATTCATAAAGAGTTTCGTCAAAGATCAATAATAAGATTTTTTTCAATATCAATCGCTTAATTATCTATATTGTAGTGTGCGTACTATTTATTTCTTGCTACATGAGCAATTTCATATCATACATATCATACACAATATACATTCTGACGAAACGAAATATTGTTCTAATAAAG